GTATTATATTACTGCATTTGGCCCACACCCCTCAGATTGATTTTAATTTTGGCCCTTTCAGAGAAAATGTTTGGGCACCCCTGGTCTAGTGTGACAGGGCCTTAAACAGGTGGATATTCTGGCTTGTGAAACATCCCCTCCAAAAATTACTGAAATTGTTTCAATTTTTTTTCCAGATAAATTAAGATAAATAATTACAGAATCAACCATGAGTAAACAATGTTGGAATCAATTTTTAATTTGCGTTTCTGAGGCAGATATCCACAATAAATATGCAAATGGGTGAAGTAATGAGCTGTTACACCTGGCTGATTGAGAGGAAACGTGCCAGAACAAGAGAGCTGTCGGTTTAGATGACGTAAAGCTTTAATAAACCATTAAACAGGTAAATCTACAAAATGTTAAATGAAGGGATGTTGGCTGCCTAAAGATAAAGTGGAAAGACTGAAGAAAAAGAAGCATACGACTGTATAATATTTTCAGTCTAATAATATAGGGATGTTGACATTTCGTCAGCAGCTGCTGCCATTTTCTTCCCAAACTGCTGTGACCAGATTTTGCGAGGCTGCTCGGTGCGTTTGTTTGTAATTTCCTCMTGCTTCGTTATTTCTACGAATTTCAACAAATCTGGCTGCTGTCAGGTAGTTAGCTACAGCCTCGTCTTCGAGTTTTTAATTTTTGTTGATGCGTTTTGAAGAGACAATTTTTTGAAAAGAGGATCAAATTAAATCACCCGAGTTTTTCTAGTGACCCCTTAAAGAGATAAACTGCCATGAAGAACATTATTTTATCTGCCCTTGTTCCAMATTTGATAATGATTTGAAACGTCGAAGTATGTTTTATTTTTTTTAATCCAGAACAGTGCTTGTTGCAAAGTGTTTTGATGCTCGTCTTCGTCACTTGACACATTTAACACGCTGTCATTGGCTGAGGAGCTTTGTTTACAAAACAGATGTCCACATGTCCCAATGCATCTCAGTAATCCAGGTAAAAAATTAAAAAGAAAAAAATTGTATAGGTCTTCTGGACGGGTTCTTCTCTAATGAAACGTTTCGTCTCTCCTCCAAAAGACTTCTTCAGTC